CCCCGCGTTGAATTATTTGAATAATTTGAATAATTTAACTAAAAGTGCGATAAAATGCATGCCTGCAATTGATATGGCATAACTGCACCTTAATTTTAAATAAACAAGTTGATCTAGGTCATGAGAGCTTGCTTCTGTGTTGTTTTTTTTTGCTTGTTTACATCTTAAATTGCACATGATTTTCAACTGTCAAAATTGTAAAAAGCATTGTTAACATTTTTTGTTATTAAGTTTATAAGAACAATTAAAAGTTTCATATGTGAATTTTAATAATTTCAATTAGTTACAATTAATTTATTGGTTATTAATTCAAAATTTTGAATGTATTTATAAAATTTAAATTTAAATTTAAAAGTGAATTTAAGCCATATTAAATATTACGTTGATGAATCATAGACTGAAGTACATCGCTGGACGCCTCATCAGATAACTGTGTACTTATATTATTTAAAAATTTTACATCATGTTTTGTCTTCCCCAGATTTTTGGTGTGAGATCAGCAGTTGCTCGATCGTTTGGATACCTTCGAATTGCGTCCGAAATGATTGATACTACTAACCGATGAATTTGGTACCTGTATAGGCCTTTTTGATGCTGTCACTTGTTGCTTTGTTGCTTCTTTTGGTTGTATTGGTGGTATCTTGTCATCTTCACTGTCGTTGGTTTCAGAAAAAAGTGGAGCCAAATTATGTATGGCACGTCTCACAATACCTGATGCTGTTTTAACATCGACCACACGTACCATTCCGTCAGTACCCTTATGTATATTGGTTACTCGACCCAATGCCCACTGAAGAGGAGGTAAATTTCCATCCTTCATGATGACTAAAGTGTTTTCTTGCAAATTTTTGCATTCTTCTCGCCATTTACGTCGGTATTGTAGCTCATTTAGATATTCAGAGTTCCACCGTCTCCAGAATTCATGTTTTATGTGGGACACCAATTTCCACCTCGTTAGTAATGATGTCTTTAAATTTGTTGTGGTTGTACTTGCTGGTGCTGTAAGAGCTTCACCAATTAGAAAGTGGCCTGGCGTAAGTGCTTCAAAGTCATTTGGATCATTCGACATTGGAGTAATCGGTCTTGAATTTAAAATCGCCTCTATTTCAATAACAACTGTTTCTAACTCTTCGTACGTTAAGGATTCTGTGGCAACGCTGCGCACAAGTAAATGTTTCGCCGACTTCACTGCTGCTTCCCAGAGTCCTCCGAAGTGAGGCGTACGAGGAGGAATGAAGTTAAATTTAATACCTTTTTTGCTGCACGCTCTTTCAATTACTTCTCCTGATTTTTTTGAGTAAATTAGTTCTACTAGTTCATTCAGTTTGTTATTGGCTCCAACAAAATTAGTTGCATTGTCACAAAATAGATTTTGGCAAAGCCCACGCCTCGCAACAAAACGTTTAACTGATCCAATAAATGCGTCGGTAGTTAGGTCACTTACCAGCTCCAAATGTACTGCCTTGGTGCCAAAACAACAGAAAACAGCAATATATGCCTTGTGCGGCCGCTTTCCTCTTACTTTGTAGTGTACCCAAATTGGTCCACAAAAATCGACTCCCGTGTTAAGAAATGGTCTACTTGGATGGATTCGAGCTTGTGGAAGATTTCCCATAATTTGATTGAAAGTTACAGGTCTACACCTTGTACAACGAATACAGTGTTGCACGATGGACCGTGCCATTACCTTCCCCTTGATCGGCCAAAATTTTTGCCGTGTCGCTGCCAATAATGCTTGGCCACCGCAATGCATGTTTTCTTCGTGAATTTTCTTCATTAATAGCTTAACTATGCAGTCATTGTATGGGAGGAGCATTTGATGTTTAGCATTATATGTTAGATTTGATGCGTCTAATCTTCCTCCGACCCGAACGATATCATATTTATCTAAAAACGGAGTCAATGCAGCTAACGAGCTAGATGCTTTCACCAGTTTGCGATGCTTTAAATCAATTACCTCTTCCTTGAATTCAGTAGCCTGAATGCATTTCACGATGAACCTAAGTGATTCTTCTAACTCTTCCGGATGTAATTCATTGGTATGATTATTAAATTGAAGTCGCTTACTACGCCTTATGAACCGTAGCACATAACCAACAATGTGAAGCAATGTGTTAAAAGAATTTCTGTGGTTTACCTTGTATATCCATTCAGTATCATCTTCGGTTGCTGTTAGCATCATTTTCTGCGAAGTTTTTTTTAACTCGGCGTTGTCTGGCTGATTGCATAGGGCCTTATTGAATTCTTCTGGCCACATATCTTCACGACCATGTAAAAACATAGGACCATAGAACCATAAATTATGAGTTTGCAATTGAGATGGTTTGATGCCGCGTGAGAAGGCATCTGCTGGATTTAGTCTTGAACTTACATTTCGCCACTGACTTGGTGCGGATAAGTCTTGAATTGCCGCAGTCCTGTTTGCTACAAATTGTTGATGTTTTGCTGGCAATGAATTAATCCAGTAGAGTACAATTTCAGAATCAGTCCAGTAATATGATTCTGTCTTATGATTTAAATCGCCCTTTACCCTATTCATTTATGTGGCTCCTAGAAGAGCAGCGCACAATTCTAAGCGTGGAATGGTTTGCTTTTTGAGTGGGGCGACCCGAGATTTAGAGCATAGCAGTCGATTGATCAAGCGTCCATCTTTCAGTGTTGCTCGAATGTATATAGCTGCTCCATAAGCCTTTTCGGAAGCGTCACAAAATGCATGGAGTTGCACCGATGAAGCAATCTGCTGTCCAAAAATATGCCTATCTATCTGAAAATGGTGCAATGACCTTAACTCGTCACAGAAATTAATCCATCTGGTATGTACTTCACTCGGCACAGCTTCGTCCCATGATAAGTTGAGTTGCCACAGATCTTGAATTAGTATTTTTGCTGTTACTAACACTGGACCCAAAATACCCAGGGGATCGAATATTTTTGCTAAACTAGAAGTTATCGATCTTTTTGTTATTCGCTTAGATGGGGTTAAATCAATCCTTATGCTGAATTTGTCACGCTTTGGTTGCCACGATAATCCTAATGTTTTGACTGATGCTTGGTCTTCATTGCTGAAATCTAAATCGACCTCTTGGTCCTCTTTTGCTATGTCTTGAAGCAGCAAAGGATTATTAGCACACCATTTTCGCAATTTGAAACCAGCTGATTCCAATAAATCGTGAAGTTGACGTTGTATTTCTAAAGCTGTGTCAAGACTATCTGATCCACTAAGACAATCGTCCACATAAAAATCATTTATAATTGCCAAGGCTCCAAGCGGGTATTTAGTTGATTTGTCTTTTGCTAGTTGCTGCAAACACTTCGTAGCCAGATATGGCGCTGACCTTGTGCCATAAGTTACTGTATTTAATTGATAAAACTGCAATGGGTCGTTAGGCAATCTTCTCCACGCAATGATTTGGTATTTTCTATCATTTGGATGTATAAGGATTTGTCTATACATCTTTTCAATATCTGTGCAAAATGCAAATCTGGGGCATCTGAAACGAAGTAAAATGGAAAACAATTCACTCTGAATTTTTGGGCCTGTTAACAATATGTCATTTAATGATAACCCGTTGTTGGTCTTGCACGATGCGTCAAACACTACTCTCAATTTTGTTGAACTACTGGTAGGTCGAATTACACAATGATGTGGGATCAAATAATGTGATGTGATGTCCTCGATATGAATTTTGCTCATGTGGGCCAACTTTTCGTACTCATCCATAAATTCTACATACTGCTTCCAGACTGCTTCATCTTTGCTTAATCTTCTTTCTAGGGCATAAAATCGGTTTATCGCTGTGTTTTGAGACTCTCCGAGAATTGATGGATTTTGTTGAAACGGTAATCTCACAATAAATCGACCATGGTTGGTTTTTTGTACATTGTTTATAAAATGTGATTCGCACAACTCTTCTTGCTGAGTTACGTTTTTGTTTGTAGGTGATGCTTGATCGAGTTGCCAAAATTTCTCTATCACCTTTTCTATTTGTTCTTCATCGTCCGAGCAAATGCCGCATGTTTGCATCTGCACACCTAAATTGTTGTCAGTTATTTTTCCTATCACAATCCAGCCCAGTAACGTATTTTGCAATATTGGAAGATTATTGCCAATTTTAATCTGTCCGATCGACAGCAGTTCATGTGAAAATTCTGCCCCCAGTAAGAGATCAATATTACCCTTTTGGTGAAAGCAAGGATCAGCCAACTTAATATTGCTCGGTATGTCCCAATTTGAAATGTCGAGCTGCATGCTCGGTTGATCAGACACGATACTTGGTAACATGTACGCTTCCACTCTTGCGGCATATTCATTGATTTTGGAACTAAAACCCAAATTTACTCGCCTTTGAGCATTTTGTTTCCTTTGTCCAATACCTTCGATGCATGCGGATACATTCATTGGATTTTCTCCTAGTTTTTTGATGAGTCTTTCCGTTACAAGATTTACTTGTGAACCGGAGTCTAATAATGCTCTACATTCAACCTTGATGCCTTTATTGCTTTGTATTATTACGCGTGCTGTTCCCAATACAACATAACCCTTGTTGTAATTGTTATAATTGGAGATCAGGCTTATTGACTTACTCGAATTTGTTATTTTATTTGGGTTAGTGCATGTTGCATCTTCCAGATGTAAAAGAGAATTGTGTTTTTTATTGCATATTTTACAATTGCCTGACGAGCATTCTCTTGCAAAATGGCCAAACTTTAAACAATTAATGCACAACCGCATTTGTTTAACTAACTGAAGTCTTTTAGTGGGAAGTTCTTGTATGAATGACTTGCACGTGTACAATGGGTGACGATCATTCTTGCATGCCGGACATAGTTTTTCGTAATTTGATCCTTCGTTTGTTGCAGCAACTACTCTCGATGTGTTTAAGACCTTTACGTTGAATCCTCTGCCAAAAGCCTCCAGTGACAGAAATCGGCTTTCAATAAACTGTAGAAGTTCTTCGAACGACACGAGTGAACGATTATCCTTTAGAGATTGTTCAAATGCTGTTTGAGTTCCTCTATCTAATTTCTTTAACGTGAGGTGCACCAATATTGCATCCCATTCTTCTATTAGAATACCCTGTGCCTTTAAGCCCAAAATGCACTCCTTAGTGACATCATGCAGCGACTTCAAACCTGATGAAGTTTCCGCAGTTAAAGACGATTGGCTTAACAACTTGTTGAGTAACGCTGTAATGAGTAGACGTTTATTGTCGTATCGAGATCTTAAAATTTGCCATGCTGTGGCATAATTTTCTGTTGAAGCTGGCAAATGTTTGATTAAATTTTTCGGTTCACCGATTAAATTGGTGGTTAAATAAAACATTTTTTGCATTGGTTTAAATGGTTGCTCGTCAATGAGCTGTAAAAACAAATCGCGAAATTGTACCCACATTAATGGGTTTCCGTCAAAACTTGGAAGCGTAATTTGTGGCAATTTTACTGATTGCAATGTTACTGTATTTTCTGAGATACCATCACTAGAATTTAACAATTTTAGCTTTGATTTTATTAACATCAATTTATTGTGTAGTTTTGTTTCTATTTCAAAAAACACATCCCAACTGTAGTCCTTTACCGTGTCTGCAGTGGTGGAGTTCCATATTATATCATTGTTTTGTTCTAACTTGCTGAGATAATTTTCCAGCTGTGCCTGACTTGTCCTGTAAGCCACTTCTTGTTGTGGTTCTTCAAATGTTGATTCTATTTCCTTCATGGTCTTTTCAATGACGCGAATCAGCGCCCTTTGATTCCGTAACGGTTTTGTCACGTTTTTGTCTTCGGTCGACACCGGCTTGATCCCTTCTTGTTTCTTATCTCCTTCAATGGTTGCCATTTTTTACGTGAAAAATTAATACCTATATGAAATTAACAGTTGGTACCAGATGAATTTTGACTGAATATAATTGATCACGTGTCTTAATGCAATCACGTTATGTGTACATGCACCAAATTCTTAGCTGCCGTAGATTACGCACCAAGTGATGATCCTGTTAATGCTGCAATCACGTCGGGGTCACCAAAATGATAAGAACGCGTTTGTTCTTATTAATTTCCAAGAAGTTATATCAAACTTCCAACACGCACATGCACGCGTTGGATGATATATTTTGTATTTATTAATGGTAAACTGCCGAGCACTTAAACTCGTAGTTTGCCTTACTAATCAAATTTGTAATAAAAAGATCAATTCCAAAATTCTTATTTGTATTTTATGTGTTTATTTATTTCTTTATTTATTTCCAGGTAGTTTGGACAATTTGTTGTTAAATGTGCTATTTTTTACCAGTTGTTACTCGTCTGACCGTTCAACCAAAAAGAGGAAGAGCAGCACAGAAGCTGCTCTCATGTCCCTAATCAAGCTTAAAGCTTACTTCATTCTCCTTTTGTTGCCAAACAGCTGATTACTAGTGTTTGACAACGTTAAGAAGATGAAGTCTTTTATGTAGCTATTACGACCAAGATTTTACCTTACGGAGATTTAACAATTATTTTAAAATGTATATTGAAAATTTCAAAAATTTAATTTGAAACTCTAATTTATTTGTATGATTATTATATTTTTTATAATATTTTATTAATCTAAATGTACTAGGGTATTATTTAAAATGATTAATTTCTTGCAAAAAAAATATATTTTCTGTAACATTAATACTATTAATACTGGAAAGAAATTTATTTAGATATGTTAATTTCTTAAGACTTTTAAAAAACTTGTTGTTTTTTTTTTTTTAATAATAGGGAAATTTGGTTATTGGTAATATAAAAAGAAAAATACCTCCACCAATTCGTTAAGAAATGTGGCAAATGGTGATGTTGAGGGTGATGATGTTGGGTTGTTGTAAGGCCTTATAGTTTTTATTATACAGTATGTTTTTTATATTATTATTTTTTTAATTATTAATTTTAGTTCTTCCAGATTTAAGGGTGATTAACAATATAATTTCAATATAGTTTTAATTTTAATATATTTGAAAAAAATAATATTTTCAAATTTTATTTTTTTAATATAATTCAATAATATATTTAATATTTTTAGTAATAATTTTTTAATATAATTTTATGTTCGTTTTTTTTTTTAATTTTAAATTGAATTATATAATATTTAATATTCTTAATAAGATTTTTTCAATAAAGTTTTATGTTCGTTTTTTCTTCACGATGGCAATTCAAAAATAATAACAATAATTTGATTTTATTCATACAAAAATTAATTTTTTTGTTAAACCTAACTCACGTTTCTCCTGATGATGAGGATACTTGATTGTTGATGGTTGGGTTCTTTGCTGTCCAGGAATCCTTTTCTTCAGCTCCAGTTGGCAGCAGATAAATAATTTGTTCGAAGCGGCTGATTATAGGAAGTCACTTTCTTATTAAATTATTTTAATGTCTTGAAATTAGTGTTTATGACCGCGCGATTCTTTATTATTGAATTTGGCTTTTTTGTGATTTAAAAATTTTTTGGGTTACTTTTAATTTTTCACCACTTTGTTATTCACTTTATAATCCACCAAATGTTTTATTCAAATAGCACTTTGATCA